CACCCCGCCTTCGCAGGCCCCCACGCACACGCCCACCAACCCCCGCTGTTCTCCCCCTTCGCGCATTCTGGTTCCTTTTCCGCCTTCCACGGCGCGGACAAATCCCCCTTCCCCGCCACCACTCCGGGCGCCAAAAGCCCTTCCCCCGCCGGCATGCCCGCCCACATGCAGCAGCAGCAGACGGGGGGAGCTTCCCCGGGCGGGCGCCCGCTGGAGCGCGCGTGGGGCATGAAAAACGCGGATCAGGCGGTGGGGGGAAGGATGGCTGGCGCGCGCGGGGAAAGCGGGGGACGGGGGAATGGTCCGTGGGGAGCGGATGCGCAGATGGCAAGGAGAGAGGGGCGCGGGAAGGGCGGCGGGCGCAGTGAGAACAGAGGGGGGGGAGGGGACAGCATGGGGGACACGGATGAGGAGCAGGAGGAGCTGGAGAGGGAGTGGAAGAGAGAGAGGGAGCGGGGGAGAGATAAGGACTCAGGAGCAGGGGAGAGGGGGAGTGAGGGGTCCCGGAGGACGCAGAAGCACGGGCGCAGGGGCAGGGGGGGAGGGCATGGCAGCGGCAGCGTCAGTGACAGCGGCAGCGACGGGGGGGAATCCACGGGGCGGTCGGGCGAGCGGGAGTATGGCATGGGGGGGGAAAGGGCGGAGAGCCCCCGGGGGAAAACGGCAGCGCGCAGGCGGAGTGGGGCAGCAGCGAGTGGGGTGCGGATGGTGCTGGCTGTGAAGCAGATGGTGGGGCGGGAGGGCGGCGGTGGTGCGGGGGGAAAGGAATCGGAATCGGAGTATGACACAGAGGCGGAGCAGCTCAAGGCGCAGAAGGAGAAGGAGCGCGAGTGGCTGCAGGAGAAGAGCCGCGAGTTGGAGGCAGCTGGGGACACGGAGGGCGAGGAGAAGGAGCGTGCGCGGGAGAGGGCGCGGCAGCTGGTGCGGCGGCCAGAGCTGAAGCGCAGCTCGTGGAAGGACTATGAAGGGCACGCGCACGCGGGCAGCGGGGGCACCTGGGAGGAAGCTGCGCAGGGGTTTGCAGAGAAAGGGGAAAGGGGGAAGGGAGGGGCGGGAGGTGAGCAGGATCGGGTGGGAGGAGGCGGCGGGTTGTTGAGGCAGGAGGGAGTGCGTGACGACATGTTGATCGACAGTACCGGGCCCTCGAACGCCCCAGCAGCTTCCAAAGACCCAAGCCAGCCACGAGCCCCCAACGCCCCCGTCCTACCCATGAGTTCAGCCCCCCCTTCGTCCTCCAACCCCCCTCCCGCACCACCGGGCAAGCCTGGCATGATAGGCAAGGTGGGGTTGGGTGCTCCTTTGGTGTCCAGTAGTGGGGGAAGCCTGCTCAACTCTCATAGGTCAGGCGATTGGTCTTCCACTCTCTCTGATGCTGCTGCTGCTTCTGGCAGTGGCAGTGGCAAGAGCAGTGGTATTGCAGCTGCAGGTGCCAGTGCCGTCTCCTCCTCTGCCACGTCATCCGGAGCCACGTCAGCAGGGACCGCGCCGCCCCTGCGCAGGTCGCAGACGGCAGGAGGGCAGGAGGTGGGGCGGTACGTGGGTGGGGGGCCGAGAGGAGGAGCAGGGGTTGGCGCAGCAGGGGCAAGTATGGGGGGAGACGCAGCAGCATCAACATCATCATCATCATCAGCAGCAGCAGCAGCAGTGGTGGTGGTGGTGGTGGTGGTGGCGTGTCTGGCAAGCCCCCCTTGGCATGGGCCCCCCAGGGCCCTCGCAATCTCTCCCGAGCCATGTCCCTGGGCCGCCATGCCATGCCCCAAGCCACCTTCCGCCCGCGCCTCCCCCCCGGGCTCGTTCTGGGGGGAGCGGGAAGCAAGAGCGTGGACGGGGGAGGGGAGAACAACGTAGAGGACCATGGGTCGGATAGTGACGGGAGCACCCGTAACAGGAACAGTTACAAGAATAGCAACAGTGTTGGGAACAGTAGCACGGGACAGGCGGGTAGTCCTGGAACGTCAGAGTCAGGTGGTGGTTTTCACCAGGAGGGACTGTCCCACTCCATGTCCCTGCACCTGCCCCCCCGCTCCCACTCATACGGCCCTCCTAGGATCGCCCCCCGGGGAGTGGCAGCAGGAGGGGCAGCGGCGGGTGGTGCAGGAGGAGGGGGTGTGCAGCGGCAGGCGGGGCATGGAGATGGGTCATTGGGGGAGGGTGACGACGGCGGGTTGGGCTTGGTGAGGGGAGGAAGTGAGAGGCCTAGAGTCAGTGGCGGGGTGGTTGGGATGGAGGGTGGGGACGATTCAGTGCAGCTGGTGCGGAGCATGAGTGTGGATCCGCGAGGTAAGGCTGGAGGTAAGGGTGGAGCGGGGGAGGGAGGCCATGGCGGTGGGCGAACGGCACTTCCGGAAGTGGATGCGAGCAACTTCACCAAGACTCACTCGTTCCACATGGCACCATCTAGAAATGCAGGCATGCAGGCGTCAAAGGGCAAACCAGGGGGTTCTGCGAGGTGAGGGGACGTGCACAGCACAGGCGGTGGACTTCTGAAGGCAGGTAGATGTGCATGCGTGCCATGCATGTTAGCTAGTGCTGACCTAACTGGTGTCGAGCTTCTTGATAGGTCCTAACTTGTGTAGGTTGAGCTTTTGAGATATGTTTCTAATTTATTGTTAGGATCAGCTTGCAACATTCTGCTTGCAACATTTATTACTGTGTATGACATTCTGGCCTTTTTTGGTGGTGTATAATATTGTGGTCCTAGTTGTCACTCTTTGGAAACCTTGTGTATTATAAGGTACCTGCAGCATTATGATAGTGTACCCAACTGTGAACTAGAAATAAGATTTGCGGGACGTGGAACGCGGCTCTCGAAGTCAACCACTTCCGTCGCAGCGAGAGGCACGCGAAGTGCGTGCCCCTTGGCGCCACCCGTGCATTTTTCGAGGAGGCTTGAACTCAGCTCCCACCTTACGAGTTCGCGATATCGTCAACGCGCCGTGTTACCACGTCGGCCGGTTGTGGGAACTGCTGGTGTCAGCCCGTTCTCTGGCAATGATCAGCCCTGAATCCGTCGAGCGAGGAATCCATGCGAGCCGAATCGCGTCAAGCCAGGTTTCACAAACCACACCCCCAAGCCAAGAGTTGCTCGAGGCCCATTGACGAGCCGCTGTACCATCCACGTGGCAGCTTACCACACGATGCTAAGCTCGAGGGGCCGGCCAAGGCGAAAAAGAGAGGGCGATGCCAGCCCGATTCCGTCAAAAAAGACCCTCCCGAGAATCGTGGCTCATATAATCTCGCGCTACTTCCACTACAAGCAGCAGCCTCCCTCCCTCACTTGTCAGGCGGAATTTCCAAGGGGAACTCGTTGCTGCCGCAAGGGAGACAGAACAGATCCACTCCACAAGTGCATACTCCAGCGGAATCTCAAGGCTTGGCTGACGCGGAATGTTTGTGAAAAGGGAATCCATTATTAGCGCTTGTGATGAAGTTTCGCTCTGGTCTGGATGTGCGTGGAACGCCAGAATTTCCGTAGAATGTGGATAAAGCGCAGCATGTATGCTTGACGCAGTAAGGCATAAATTAGCACTTAGAAACGTTAGCAGTCGTGTTGCAGCTTGGTCCCCACGGAACAGACAAGGAAGGATGTTCAAAGGCCTGCGTTCTCGCACCAAGGAGAAATTCGAGTTCCGGCTTCGCTTCCATGCCACTCGCGTATGCTCCCATTCCATCCTACCATCACATTCCCCTAACCTGTGTTGCAGATTCTCCACTTCCTTAAAAACTTTAATTAACCCATGCGCACCGTCATTGACTCATTCGTCTACATAGTACTTTGTGCCGTCATTCCCATCTTCTCATCGTCTTCCCACCTCCCCCTCTTTCCCATGCAGCTGCCACCGCTAGGCCATGAGAGCCTCCACGTGTCGCTCTATCAGGACACGGGGCGCCTTCAGAGCCAGACGAGCCGCGTGGCCGTGAAGAACGGCGCGTGTCAGTGGGCGGACACGCTGACGGAGGTGGTGAAGCTCACGCGCGTCAAGGGCAGCAAGGCGTTCGACGCCAAACACTACCGCCTCGTCGTTGCCTCGGTCCGTCTCTCCCACTCGTCTCGCGCTCCTCTCACATCGCACTTCCCTCGCCCCCCACTTCCCTTGTGGCGCTAATTTCCGACTTATGCTGCCTCCTATCCACATTAAATCACACATTCTGTGCTAGAAAGTGGTTCAGGCTCACGCCCTGTCTCCCCCGCGCTCCCTCCCCCTCTTGATGCCTCCTGTCTGCCCAGGGACCATCCAAGGCGTCCATTCTTGGCGAGGCGTCGCTGAACCTCGCGGATTTCGCCGCCTTTTCGCAGCTGGACCAGCGATCCCTGCCGTTGCGCTGCTGCGAAGCGGGCTCCGTGCTGCATGTACGTGGTATTTAATAGAATCGATCGTTCGCGGCGGAAGACGCGCTTCGCAACACCACACGCGCTTCTCTTATTATTTTTTCCATTCGTTCCTTTTCTCTTCATCTCCTTCTCTTCTTACTTCTTCTAACCATCCTTCTCTAACTGCCAATTGATTCATTCACGTGGCATACACGTGTGTGCGTGTGCCATGGTCGTACAGGTGACAGTGCACTCCATCCCTCTCGAGACGCGACACATGCCCAACTCTCACTCCGAGTGAGCCCCAGCTTTCCCCCTTCCCCAGCTCCGCGCGCTTCTTCCTCTCCCGCGCCCCTCTCTTCCTCTCTCTTTTTCCTACTCGTTCTGCTGGATCCGCACGCACCTCGCCAAGCTGTATGCACGAATCTAAACTGTTCTCCTCCCCCTCGCTTCCATCTTCTCGCAGCGACGAATCCGAGTCGGTCGACGGCGCCGCGCCGCGCTCGCCGCACTCCCTATCCTTCACGCGGCACCGGCCGTACGACACGGAGAGCGACGACGACCGCGGGGACGAGCGCGAGAGCGGGGGCGCGGCGGACGAGGAGAGCGAGGCGGAGGAGCGCATGTACGGGGGGGCGAGTGCGGGGGCGCGGTCGCGGTCCGCGCGGTATAGCAGCAGCGCAGCATCGGAACCCGCGGACTCTCTGCCCACCACGCCCCTCTCAAAACCCGCTGTCGCGCCCGCTAATGCGCTCGCCAAGGTACGGTTGGGCGCGGCTGATCCAGGCCGGTGGAGCGCTGTGTTCCGCCTTGCGCGGGGGCAACGTCCGTAAGAGGTCGACACGAAACTGGTCAACGCAAGTCGGTCCACGAAATTTGGTTCTGAAATTCACCACAAGTGACTCATGTCTGTCGAGATACTGAGGGGGCACGTGGTGAACAGTGCAGTGTGTGCTCCGGGACCTGGCATCGCCAGCCGGCCCTGCTTCTCCAGGACGGCGCACGTGTATGCGCCAGTCTTGCGTTAATCTCCGCTGGGTGTGGGTCCCGTTCGCCACATTCACCTCTCGCCTCGTCCGCTTCAACTTTTGCCTATCTCACCCTCCCTCCGTTTCTTCTCTCCCTCTCTCTTCCTCTCGCACCTCTTCCCTTCCCCCAACTGCCGCCCCGCCTCCGTCCAGTTGCAGCTCTTCACGGGCTCGGCGCGCTCCTTGACCGCGCCATCCACGCCCCCCCGCTCCTTACACTCCCCGAGGACCCCGCCGTCTCTCGCGCAGGTATACCTTCCGCACCCCGTGCCAGCATCAACTTCCGTTCATTGCCTCCCCACGTTCTTTTCTACATATTGCGCACACACACGCCACCTGTCCCGGCTTCAAACTTCCCGTCGTTCCCCACCCCTTTCTAATCAAATTTCGCCTTTCCGCGCCTCGCTGCCGCACCTTCGCAGGTAACTTCTGGCGCCTCCGCGCCTGATTTCTCGCTCTCCCCGCCGCCCGCCCTCCGCGCGCACCATCTGGCCCAGCGCAAAGACGACTCCGACTACGCGCGGAGCAGCGACCGCGAGTTAAGAGATGCGCCACCAGCCGTGCCGCCGCCAACAGGCGCAGCGCCACGTCATTCCATGGTGTCTGACGTCTCTCCGCCTCTCGAGCCCCCACCGTTCCTTCACTCCATCCGCGCCTCGTCCCGCCCAAGCTCCCCCATGCGCGCAGCTGGCAGTGCGCGCATGAGCGGAGCCGGCGGTCCCGGGGGGATTGGCGGAAGTTGGAGGGTAGAGGGCGCAGGCGTGGGCGGAGTTGCTGAAAGCGTGGGGAGCGGGAGTGTAAGCGGAAGCAGCAGCGCGGGGGGATGGAGCATAGCGCGCGGAAGCACCACGAGCGCGTCCATAAGCCGCAGCAGCAGCTGCGCAAGCAGCCACGGCGGGTGGTCCGCCATCGGTTCGTTCCGCGGAGCGCAATCGCCCGTCAGTCGGAAAACCCTGCTGCTCGATCTGCAGCAGCAGCAGCAGCAGGCGGGGGGCATGGCGCAAGCGGAGCGGAAAGTGGGCGCAAGCGGAACGGATGCTATCCGCGCAACCTCTTGCATGGGTGCTGGTGGCGCAGGACAGGGGGCGGGTGTGCGGAATGGGGGGGACGGCATGTCGCTGAATGCGCGGGTGAGTGGCTACAGTCACGCGGAGTCCGCGGGTAGATCTACGGGCAGTTCCGCCACGCATGGGGGGGAAGCGGATGAGTTGCGGGGAGCGGAGGCCAGGGCACGACTCAGCAGGAGCCGAAGCGTGACAGGGGGGGCCGAAGGGGGAAACGACACGCTGGCGGCCGCGGCTTCGGAGGCCGCATCCGCGCGTGATGCAGAGGAATCGCGCGTTCCAGGTTGGCAGGTGGAGCGCCTACGAGCGCAGGTTGCGCGCGCAAGGGCGCAGCAGTCGAAGGTGGAAGAGGAGCGCGACCGACTGGCGGAAGAGTTGCGCCGGGCGCAGAGCGCAGGCGGAAGCGGAGGAGCCGGAAACGGAGGAGCGGGGACCGGCACGCTGGGTGCGCTCGGGGCAACGACTAGCAGCAGCAGCAATGGCAGCGGGAGTGGGCTGTGGGGGAGTGGGTGGGAAGCGAGCGGGGGGGAGGGGAGCGGGGGGGAAGGCACACAGAGCTCGACGGACGGCGGAGAGAGCAGCGGGCGGGAGGCGATGGAGGAGGCATCGCGGTTGCGGGGCGAGGTGTCGCGCGCGCGGGACGAAGCGTCTCGCGCGCGGGAGGAGGCGTCGCGCGCGCGGGAGGAGGTGCGGTACTACAAGGACGTGAGCGCGCGCCTGACGGCTCAAGTGGACTTGCTGCGGGTGAGTTGGCGGAGATGGCGCGGGTGAGCGCGCGGAAACGCGCAGTTTGAGGGGAGGGGAGTGGAGAGTGGGGAGAACAGAGAGCAATAATGGGAGACAGGGAGTTAAGGGATCCCTCATTGAATGATGAGGTGGCATAGAGCGAGGAGGGTCCTACTTCGTCAGCCTTCCCTCTTCCGCCCTCATTTTCGCTCCTTAAAGACACAACATAATTTTGTATTTGTTTTCTTTGCCTCACCAGCTCTTTCCGTCACGCTCCCGTGTCACGTCCCTGCTTCCCCGCCAGACCACCAACGACTCGCTCGCGCAAGAAGCGCGCCAAGCCGCGGAAGACGCCAACAAGGCGCGCCGCGAGGCGCAGGAGCTGGCGGCGACGGGGAGGGAGCGCGAGCGCGCGTTGCGCCGAATGGATGGGGCTGCGGAAGAGAAGGAGCGCGCGTGGCGGGATCGCCTGCAGCGCCTTGTGGAGGAGCGCGGAGATCTCGAGGCTAAGCTGCGGCGCGCGGAGGCGGAGCGGGAGGAGGCGGAAGAGCAACTGCGCGCGCACAGCGACTCCCGAAGAGGCGGGAACGGGGAAAGCGCAGGCGGGGGGAGCGCGGAGGAATTGCGGGAGCTGCGCGCGCGGGTGGAGGAGGGGGAGCGCGAGGTGGAGGAGCTGACTCAGGAGTCGCTGCAGCTCGCCGCGGGGCTGAGCGCCGCGCGGAGAGATGTGGCGGAACGGGAGGCGCGGATTAAGGAGCTCCAGGTGCAGGTTAGCGTGCTGCAGCGTTGGGAGAGGCGCGAGGAGCGGCGGGGTAAGGGCGGAGACGACTGGGGGATGAGGCGGAGAGAGGAGGGCGGGGTGGATGAGAGCGGGGAAGGCGCGGAGCAGCTGGAGCAGTTGCAGCAGCAGTTGCGGCGGCAGGAGGAGCAGGCGCAAGCCGCGGAAGCGCAGGCGCGGCGACTGGAGGAGCAGTGCGCCGAGCTGGAAGAGGCAGCGCAGCGCGGCAGAGAGCGGGCGGAGGAAGCGGAGAAACGGGCGGAGCAGTTAGCGCAGCAGCTGGCGGACGCGGAGAGGGCCGCGCGCGAAGCGGAGGAGGCGCAGAGGCGCGCGGAGGGGCAGGCGCGACTGGCGGAGATGAGCGCGGAGCGGCTAGGCAACCGCGTGCGCGCGCTGACGCCCTTAGAAGCGCGCGTGGGGGAGCTAGAGGAGGAGCTGCGCGTGGGGATGGAGCGCGTGCGCGTGCAGGAGCGGGTCAAGGCGGAGGCGGAGGAGCGCGCGCGGCAGCAGGCGGCGCTTCTGGCGGAGGTGCGGGAGGAGCTGGAGGGGGAGGTGCGGCGGCTGGGGAACCAGGTGGAGGGGCTGCAGCAGCGGTGCAGAGCGGTGCAGGGGGAGAAAGAGAGTCTGGAAGCGGAGAGGGACAGACTGGAAGGGGAGGTGAAGCAGGCGCGCGCAGCAGCGCTAGCGGAAGCAGGCAAGGTGGAAGCGGAGGCGAAGCGCGCATGGGGGGAGGTAGAATCGATGAGGCGGGCGGTTGAGTCACTGGAGAGGGGGAAGCGGGAGGCGGAATCAGCGGCGAAGGGCGCGTGGGATGCGCGGAGAGCGGCGGACGTGAGGGTAGAAGAGCTGTCAGTGCAGCTGGCGTCGCTGCGGGAAGTGCTGCAGGAGCAGGCGGAACGGGCAGAGCGCGCGGAAGCAGGGCGGAAGGCGGAGCAGGCGCAAGCAGAGGCGGAGGTGGAGAGGGGCAAGGCGGAGAGGCTGCAGCAGGAGATACAGGGTTTGGCGGGGGAGGTGGAGCAGGCGAGGAGGGAGAAAGCAGCGGCGGAAGAGATGGTGGTACGACTGCAAGGGCAGGTGAAGGAGTGGGAGGAGAGAGCACGGGAGCAGGAGGAACGGTGCGCGGAGCAGCAGCGGGCGGCCGAGGCGAGGGAGAGGCAGCGGCGGGAGGCGGACGGCAGGGCAGCACGGTTGGAAGAAGCCCTGAGGACGGTAGAAGAGGAGCTCGCAAATAGCCTGGCGCAGAGGCGACAGGTGCAGGAGCGAGAGGTCCAGCTGGAGGCTGAGGTGGCAGCGCTGACTGGGAATGCCGCCAGGCTGGCGACGGCTGCGCGGGCGGCGGAGGAGAGGGCGGCGGAGGCGGAGGAGGAGGTGGGGAGGATGAGGGAGAGTGTGGAGAGGGTGAGGGGGGAGAAGAGGGAGGTGGAGGCGAGGGTGGTTGAGGTGGAGGCGGAGAGGAGGAGGCTGGAGAGAGAGGTGGAGCGGCTGAGGGGGAGGGATGCGGGTGCGGGTGGTGGTGCGCGAGGGGAGGGTAAGGCGGAGGGGGGAAGGGCAGGGGAAGGGGAGCAGGAGGAGGTACGGGGGGATGATGGGAAGGGAGTCGGGGCGGAGAGGGGAAGTGCAGGGAGTGGGGTGGAGCAGGAGCTGTGGGCACGGCTGGATGTGCTGCTGGGTGAGAAGGAGGAGGCGGTGCAGCGGGCCATACGCGTGGAGGAGGGGTTGAGACGCGAGAGAGCTGCGTGGGAGGCAGAGAGGGAAGAGGTGCGGGGCGAGGCGGAGAGGATGAGAGGAGAGGTGGAGAGAGCCAGGGCAGAGGCGGAGAAGGCGAAGAGAGAGGTGGAGAGGGTTGAAGGGGAGCTGAGTAAGGTGAGGGCGGGTGCTGGTGGTGGTGCTGCTGCAGTGGGAGGGGAAGCGGCCAATGGTGGTGGAGGAGAGAAAGGGGCGGGTGAGGGGCCGGCGAGGAGGTTAATGAGTCAGATGCAGCGGTGGAGCTGGGTTAGTACCGGTGCTGCCACTGCTGCTGCCACTAGTGTAGGTGCGGGTACCAGCACTGGCGATGGCAGCTCAGCTGACAAGGCTAGCAGGGGTGACACAGAAAGTGACAACCAACAGCAAAAGAGGGTCGATGTGAAAGAGGCAATTTCGGATGGTAGCAGCAGCAGCGGCGTGTGGGAGGAGAAGGTGCAGAGGCTGCAAGCAGAGGTGGATCGGTTGAAGGCAGAGGTGCAGGCAGAGCGAGCTGCGAGGCAATCCAGCGAGAGAGAGAGTGAGAAATATACACGGCAGGTGAGGGAGCTAGAAGCCCAGCTGGAGGGTGCCAGGCAGCAAGCAGCAGAGGCGGAGAGGAGAGCAGAGAGACACGCAGAGGAGATCCCAGTGCTGCGAGCAGAGCAGGCGGCGCTGCGGCGGCAGGTGGAGGAGGCGAGGAAGCAGGCAGCAAGCGTGGAGAAGGCTCGGCTGGAGCTGGAAACCGAGCAGCGGAGGCTGGCACAGCAGCAGCAGGGCGCGGGCGCAGGCGCGGGCGGGGACAAGAAGAAAGGCGAGTATGAGAAGCTGCGAGGAGAGCTGATTAAGGAGAGGCTGGAGAAGCAGGTGGTGGAGGAGCGGCGCGTGCTGCTGGCCGCGCGGCTTGTAGCCATGGAGGCTGAGCTGGCAGGCTTGGAGGAGGTTCGGCAGAGGAACGCGAAGCTGGAGGCGGATGCGGAGACGATGAGGGTTGCAGCGGAGCAGCTGCAGGCGGCTGTGAAGGCCATGGAGGAAAAAATGGCTGCTGCCCATGGCAAGGAGGGTGGTGGGGCTGACGGCGGGGGAGTTGGTGCAGCGGTGGTGGCGGCTGGGGGTGTGGCTGGGTGCGAGGTGGTGCAGACGGGAGGGAGTGGGGTGGGTGGTGGTGGGGCGTTGCGAGGGAGCGTGGTGGTTGTGGGTGAGGGGGATGTGAGAGGGAGTATGGGTGGTGGGGAGGAGATAAAGGCGGGTGACGATGGGTCGTCTGTTTCAAGTGGAGCAGGAGGAGGAGCAGAAGGGGCAGGAGGAGCAGGAGGAGCAGCAGGAGGGGGAGGGGAGAGGGAGGCAGGGCCTCAAGACGTGGACTTTTGGAAGAGCTACGGGCTGCCCCATGGGCGAGTGCCGCAAGGAGGCCGGCTCAGGGAAGAGCGCGTGGCCCGGGGCGGCGGTGGCGGTGGGGGGGGCGCAGGAGGCGGTGGTGGTGCGGGAGGGGGAGGGGGCGCAGGGGCAGGGGCACGGGGCAAGGCTGCTTGTGCGTCAGCGCAGTCAGCCAGAGCCCAGCAGCAAGCGCAGGTGCAGGCACAGCAGCGGGTGCGGGCGTCGAGTCCTGTTGTGGGACGGGCGGGCAGTGGTGGGGGCGGTGGAGGAGGGGCAGGGGGGGCACGAGGGGGTGGGGTGAGTGGGGAGAGTGCGAGGAAGGGCGTGAGTCCCCTGCGTGGGGGCAGCCATGCTCGCTCTGCCAGTCCTGTGCGCTCTGCTAGCCCTGCCCGCACTGCCAGGCAGGCAGCAGCAGGGGCAGCGGCAGGAGCATCAGGTGTGGCGTTTGGCAGTGCGACTACACGCCATGCGTTGCCTGCACGCACTCCCAGGCAGCAGCAGCCGCAGCAGCATACTGTGGGGATGGTGGCAGGCATGGGGGTAGGAGCAGCAGCGAGGATAGCTGCAGGCAGGGTGAGTGGAGGCAGTGGGACAGGCAGCAGTGCTGGTACCCACCGGTCGGTAGGCACGATGGTGGGTGTGTCCCTCTCTGGCAACTCCGCCAGCAGCGGCGGTGGCGGCAGCGGTGGTGGTGCTGCAGCTGCTGGTGCAAGCAGTGGTCTGTATGGGAGCCGAGGGGGAGGGGCAGCTGCGGTTGCAGCAGCAATGAGGCGGAGCAGTGAACGGAGCAGTCACTCTGTGGCGCCACACGCAGAGAGCAGCAGCAGCAGCGGCGGCAGCGGCGGCGGCCATTATGCCAGTGCGAATGGGAGTGGCGGCGGCATTGGCAGCGGCAGTGTGACTGCGAGCCTGCTGGGGTGCATGGCGGCATCGAGCTTGCTGGATGAAGGCGCAACGAACCCTCTCTTTGGAGATGATGATGATGAAGAGGTATGGGGAGGGAGAGAGAGTGAGGGTGTGAGAGTGTGACAAAGTGTGTATGTGACACAATACCCCACCGTGACATGTCCCCAAAGGCCCAAGCATCCGTTTTTTGTCCACCTTTTATTCTCTTTGTTTGTACCTGCTCTCTTAACTTGTATTGCCTTCTCTTATCCCACCGAACGGCTTGTTGATCCGTGTCTTGTGCTCTCCATTCCCTGTTTGTTCATGTCCTATACCCTCCAAATCCACCAGGTATCCAGCTCATGTGAGGGGCTGCCCACGAGAATCACACACCAGGTGCCATTCTTAGGGTCTGCCACGTCACCAAGCATGCCTGGAAGCTCCAGCAGCAATGGCATTAGCAGTGTTGGTGGCACGAGCAGCAGCAGCACGATTATTAACTGGCGGGGTCACTCCCAACCGGTGCAAGCCTCGTGGATGGGAAGGGATGGCCCTGGTGGCCAATATATGTTATAGAAAGGGGAAACCCCAGTATGCACACTGAGGAAAGTGAGTCTGTCGGTTGATCAGAGCAACCTACTTATGAAATACTTATGAAATTAAGAGTATATTCAGTTTTGATTGTTTTGTATTGCAATGCAAGTACTTAGCCCATTGTCCATTGACCATAATGACTAGGCATGTGATGAAAGTGTTGATCTCTAGGGATAAAGTTCTGGCACCGAAAAACCCGAAACACTACTGACGCCTCAATTCGAACCCGATACAAGCAACATCCCGTCCAAATCCGGTGCTGCTGCTGCTGGTGTTCCTCCCGTTCTCGTCGCGCCGTCAACCTGGAAACCTATTTTAGGGCTTTTCTCCCGCGATCCATCAATCATCCATTCCCTCCCTCACCTTTCCTTCCATCACACCTCACCACGCTCCTACTAACTAGCGAATCGTCAGCACGGTTCCTCAGCTGACGCAGCGGGCGGCGGCTCTATAAAAAGCAGTGGCACTGCTAGGTTACTCCATTCGCTAATGTTCGTAGCGTTCAGACTGTGTTCGCAACACAACCCGCGTTCCCTCTAATCGATCCCATGTCGCCGACCCCGATCCACCAATCACCGTCCGCCAACCACTCTCTTCCTAATCATCGCGCGCGCAACCACCGCGCGCACTTATCCTGCTCGTCGCCAAATCTCGCAGCAGCTGCTGTCGAGGCGGCGGCAACTGCGGCGGCAGCCAGCGGCATAGGAGCCAGCCGAGTGTTACACGAACGGTTATGCCTTCGCATAGATGTCGCCAACCAATCCCTCGCGGGTTTCGCGGAACTACACGTTTCCCTGCCGTCCGCCAAGCTTCCGCTTTTTCCGCCCCGCGATCCCTCCGCTGCGCCGGAGTCTCCCCCTAGGTCGCAGGCGGCTTCCGCTCCCCCGCTGGCAGGCGCTTTCGGTTCCGCTGGCGTTGCGCGGACGCGCTCATTGGACGAGTGCGTTGCGCGTGACGTCGGGGGAGAGCGGGCGGGGGCGCAGGCGCAGGAGGCGGGGGGGGACCGCGAGAACGCAGGGGATTTGGGCCCCGCGCTGTGCTTCCATGCGCGCGGATTACACATCCGCCACGTGGCAGTCGATGGCGTGCCCGCGCCGTTTTATCTCCTCCGCCCGGCCCTCCCGCGATCTAAGCGCGGGGAGCGCGACGAGGACGGGGCGGAAAGGCGAGGGGGCAAGCGCAGAGCGTCGGGGGTGAAACGAGCGGAGCGACAGCGGGCGGAGAAGGGTGGGGAGAGAGGACTAGGGCCAGAAGTGGATATCGAGTTATCTAGTGGGGGGAGCGACGGTGACGGTGGCGGCAGCGACGTGGAGAGGGCGGTATCAGGAGCAGGTGCGCGGGCTGCATCAGGTTCCGCAGTCAAGGAGACAAAGCGGGCGCGCGGAAAACGTCCGCGCAGGGGCGTAGGCGCAGGCGTAGGGGGGTCGGAGCGGGAAGCGCAGGCGCGGAGGGTGGACGGATGGGGAGCAGCGCGCATGGGGATGGGGGAGGGGTGGGATGGGACGGTGGAGGGCGCAGCAGAGTGCGGATACGCGCAGTACCTGCGGCTCGTACACGAGGAGCGCGTGCCTGAGCTAGTCGTGTGGCTGCCACGTGCTGTAACAGCAGCGCTGCAGGCGCAGGCGCAGGCGCAGGCAAACGCGCGGGGAGCGGCAGGGGTTGCAGCAGCAAGCAGCGCGGGCGGGGCAGCAAGCACTGGAGACGCGGCCGCAGCAGAGAACAAGGAGAAGGAGAAGGAGAAGGAGAAGGAGAAGGAGAAGGAGAAGGAGAAGGAGAAGGAGAAGGAGAAGGAGAAGGTAAGAAAAGGAGAAAGAGAAGGAGAGAGAGAGGGAGGGAGCAGGGGCAGGAGAGGGCGAGGGAGGGGAAGGAGGAGCGGAGGTGGTGGTGAAAGTGAGAGTGGATTACGAGCTAGCGCCGCAGCATGCGGCCTCCGCACCCCACACTCCCCTCAACAGCAGCGGTGGCAGCAGCAGCGGCAGCAGTCGGGAGTGGGGGAGCGGTGGCGGGGTGCATTTCGCAGGGGGTTGGATGCACACGGTGCTGGGCGTGCCGCGCAGGGCGCGCTGCTGGATGCCCTGCGTTGACTCCCCCCGCCACCGCTGCTCCTTCCTCCTCTCCCTCTCCGTGCCCCAACCCCTCCGCGCTGTTGCCCCCGGCACGCTTGTCTCGCTCTCCCCTGGGGGTGGGGAGTCTGGCGGGAGTGGGGGAGGGTGCGCACTGTGCGCCCATGCGGGGATGAGAGGAGACGACTTGGGAAATGGGGTTGGGGATGCGGGGGAAAGGGGCAAGGGGGAAGGCGAGGGCGGACAGATGAGAGAAGGAGGAGGCGGAGGAGGCAGGGAGGAGGTGGGAAAATCTCTCCCAACGACATGCCCCGCATGTGGAGCCACCTCTCCCCCCTCCACCACCCCCCTCAGCTCGCACCCCCTCCCCTCCGCACACCCGCCCCCCCCCACGCCGCCCTTGCACACATTCACCTACCAGATGCCTGTACCAATAGCAGCTTACCAGGTGGCAATCGCGGTGGGTCCGTTCGTGGAGCTGCGGGATCCGCGCTGCCCCGCGCTGTCGCACTGCTGCGTGCAGCCGGTGCTGGCGTCGGGTGCTCTCGCGCGCACCACGGCCACGCTCGACGCGGCGTTCCGCGTGTTTGAGGACTACATGGGCTCGCCCTTCCCCTTCCCCTCGCACCGCCTGCTCTTCCTGCCACACGCCCATGGCCAACCCCACCCTGCTGCTGCTGCTGCTGGTTCAGCGGGAGCAGCAACAGCAGGGAGCGGAGGCGAGTGCAGTACTCCCACCCGGATCAACAGCAGCGGTGGCGGCGGTGGCGGCGGTGGCAGGCGGTCGCTGTGTGCGCTGGAAGGGCGGTGTGTATCAGGCGCAGCGTTGGTCTTCATAGACTCCAGCCTGCTGGTCACCGACCGCGACATCCACACCGCGCTCTCCTCTCGCCTGCGCCTCGTGCGCGCGCTCGCATCGCAGTGGTTCGGCGCATTCATCTCGGCAGAAAGCCCTGCAGATGAGTGGCTCGTGGAGGGATTAGCAGGGCACCTGGTGCAGGTGTTTGTGCAGAGGTGCCTGGGTGGGAACGAGGCGAGCTACCGGCGCGTGAAGGCCAACGATGCCGTGTGCGCTGCTGATGTTGACGGCGCTGCTGCGCTGTGCCCGCGCCCGTCGCTCGCTGCTGCTGTCGCTGCGTCGTCCGCTGCCCTTGCTGCCGCCGCTGCTCTTGGGGTCGGAGAGGGGAGAGGCGGGGAGGGCGGGGAGGCCCGGGGGAAAGGGGCGGGCGCAGGAGGGGAAGGAGGAGGAGGGGGAAGAGGAGGAGGGAGCGGAGGGTATGGAGTGGAGGCAGCAGCAGCAGCGGCATGGAAAGCATGTGCAGCCCAATCGTCCTCCCAACCACCTGCATCCTCCTCCTCACAGTCATCATCATCCCAGGCACCGCAGGTGTTTGCAGCGCCGTTTGCACTGCACCCATCGGAGCTCGTGTCTCTGGACGCAGCAGCGAGGCGACTGAGAGCGAGCAAGGCAGTGGCAGTGGTGGACATGCTAGCACGGCAGATGGGCGCTGATGCCTTTCGGAAGCTTCTCCAGAGGCTCATGCTCCGCTCGCAGGCCACCTCCCGGCGGCTCCGCTCGCTAAGCACCGCGCAGTTCCGGCACTTAGCTAACAAAGTCGGGAACTTAGAGAAGCCGTTTCTGAAGGACTTTTTCCCGCGCTGGCTGCACTCGCCCGGGTGCCCGCGGCTGTCGCTGGCGTTTGCGTACGTGCGGCGGCGGAATGTGATTGAGCTGGCGGCCAGGAGGGAAGCCACGGCACACCCAGACCTCACTGCTCTCTCCTCCTCCCCTGACGCCCCTCCCCTGCCCCCCTCCGCTGCTGCTGCTGCTGCTGCTGCTGGTGGCATTGGGAGGGACGGGGGGGCAGGCGGGGAGGGTGGTGCGGGTGGGGGGTTGGGCGCGGGAGGTGACTATGGAGGACTGGTGGATGAGTTGGGATGGGCGGGGATGGTGAGCATACGAGTGCAGGAGCCAGAGGGGCACTTTGACCACCCGTGCCTGCCGCTGGGGGGCGACAGCTGTCTGCTTCTGGAGCTGCCCTGCCACTCGAAGCTGGCTCTGCGGCGCGTGGCGCAGGCGGGGAAGAAAGGCGCAGGGGGAGGCGCAGGGGGCGCGCCGGGGGCAGCAGAAGAGGAGGCAGGCGCGGGGGCAGACGCGGCAGCAGCAGCAGGAGGGGTAGGAGGAGCGGGAGGAGCGGGAGGTGGGGTAGGCGGGGGCGGGGAGGGGAAGGGCGGGGGGGGAGACATGCCAGTGCTGTGGATGAGGGCGGATCCGGACAGGGAGTATCTAGCCCACATGCGCCTGTCGCAGCCCGTCCCCATGTGGACTGCCATGCTCGCAAGCGACCGAGACGTGACGGCACAGGCAGCAGCGGTGGCGGCGCTGCAGCAGGTGGGGGACGTGGGGGCAGCGAGCGCACTGTTTGCGTGTCTGTGTGACGCCTCTGTGTTCTGCCGTGTGCGCGCCGATGCAGCGCTGGCGCTCGCGCACTGCTGCACCGCCGCCTCCTTCGCCCCGTCCTCCCCGTCGCCCTCTCTCCCCGCCGCCGCCGCTGCTGCTGCTGCTGCTGCCAACCCAATGGACTTATCCCCGGCACTGCCACAAACCCCTCCCGGCACTGCCGCTACCACCACCACCACCACGACTACTATCACCATCGGGACTGGTGGAGGGATCGGTGGTGGTGGGAGCGGCGGCGGTGGGAGCGGCGGCGGCGGCAGCAGCAGCAGTGCGGTGCCAGGGCTAGACCTCCTGCTGCGGTTCTACAAGGACCGATTCTTCGACCGGCTCACCGGCCTGCCCCGCTGCAACGACTTCTCCGACTGGGCGGAGTACTTTGTCCAGATCTGCATCCCGGCAGCCGTGGCCGCAGTGAGGGATGCGCGGGGGTGCTCGCCCGCTGCAGCGGTGTCGTTCCTGCTGTCGCTGCTGCTGCACAATGACAACTCGCGCAACGCGTGGGACGACTCGCACTTCCTCTCCGCGGTCATCTCCGCCATTGCGTCTCTGAAGCTCTCGCCTGACGCTGCTCTCCACTTCCACTGCACGGCAGGGTCCACTGGCACTGCTGCTGCTGCCGCTGCTGCCGCTGCTGCTGCTGCTGCTGCTGCTGGCGCTCCCACTGGTGCTGGTACGGCCACGGGAGTGCAAGCACAGGGCACGGGGGTTCGCAGCACTCCCCACACGGGGCACGCACACGCACACGCACACGCACACGGGCGGCGGTACAAGCGGAGTGGCGCACAGCAGGGATGAGCATCAGTCCCGTGCTGGCAGCGCGCGTGGTGCAGCAGCTGCAGCGCTACCTCTCCTTTGACCGCATCCTGCCCTCCTCCCACCGCCGCGTGTCCGCCTCCTGCCTGCACGCCCTCACACACCTCTCGCTCTCGCTCCCGCCGTCCGCCTGTGACCTTCCTGCGCTGCGCTCCCTGCTGCTGAGCCATGCCGGGAGGTATGTGCCGTGCGGGGAGGTGGAGCGGTGGGGGAAGGGCGAGGGGCGCTGGGGGAAGGACGGGGAGGAGGAGGCGGGGATAGGGAGAGGGATGGGTGTGGTTGGGAATGGGGTAGGGGGAGCAGCAGGGGATGGTGGGAGGAGGGGTTGTGGTAGCAGCAGTGGTAGTAGCAGCGACAGCAGTGGCAGCAGCAGCGATAGCAGCGAGAGCGACAGCAGCAGCAGCAGTAGCAGCAGCAGGGGGAGTAGGAGGAGGAGGAAGTGGAGGAGGAAAAGAAGAGAGAAGCGGGAGCAGCTGCCGCGGCTGCTGCCTGTTGTCCCGCCTCCCCCCGTGCGCCTGGCAGCCCTCTGCTGCCTGGTAGACGTGCACATGCACCAGCTGCTATCCCACACCACCTCCACCACCACCACAACCACCACCACAACCACCGCCACAACCACCACAGCCACCACCACCTCTCAGAAACCCCTCTCTGAATCACTCCCGCCGGCTCCCTCGCCCGAGCCCATCTCCCTAGACCCACTCCTGCGTCTGCTGCTGCATGTGACCGTGGGTTCCCACGCGGACCCCTCTCTCCGCGTGCGCGTGAAGCTCCTCAATCACTCCTGCCCCCCTCTCCGCCACCTCTGTGCGCTCCTCGGCGCCCCTTCTGTTGCCCTGCCGCCCCCCTCCCGCCCTGCGTCTGCCGGGCCTGTGGGTGGGAGGAGCAGGGAGGGCGGTCGCAGGAAAAGCGGAGGGGGGATGCCTTGGACTGGGGCAGGGATGGGAGCCGCATGGGGCCAGGGGGGGGGATTGGCGGGAGGAGGGGAAGGCGGAGGGGGGGGAGCAGGGGGAGGAGGAGCGGGAGGGGGAGCAGGGCTAGTGGTATCAGCAGGGGTGTTGAATCGCCTCGTCGCCTCGCTCTCCTCTCCCCACGCCTTCTCCTCCCCTCCTCTCCGCCACGCGCTCTTCTCCCTCCTCTCCTCCCTCGCCAACCTCCCCTCCTCCCTCTACCGGCCCCCCCATCTCTACACGCGAGCAGAGGCAGCAGCAGCAGTGGCCATAAGAGCAGGAGTAGCAGGCACTGCTGCAGCAGCAGGAGCAGGAGGAGGAGGGGGGGGTATGAGAGCAGGGGTTTCGTTAGGAGCTGGGGGATCATCCCTCAGTGCAGGCACTGCTAAGCGGCCTGAAGGGGTGTCTCTAACTGTGCGCCTCCCCCGCCCCGCTCCCCCTCCCCCTCCCCCTCCCCCCCGCCTGGAGCCCATCCGCCTGCGGCTCACCCCGGGGGGAGGGGCGGGGGGGAGCACTACCAGCACGGGCAGCGTGGGGGCAAAGGGCGGAGCGGGGAGTGTGGGGGGAGCAGCGGGAGGGGAAGCGGGGGAAGCAGGGGCGGTGGGTGTGGTGGGTGCTGTGGGTGGTGCGGGTGGTGCGGGTGGTGCGGGTGGTGGGGAGGCAGGGGGGGGAGGGTCACGGGGAGGAGCGGAAGAGGGGAGAGTGGGGAAAGTGAAACTGCGGTTCAAAGCAGCTGCTTCCCCTTCTTCCGCTGCTAGTGCAGAGGCAGGGAGCAGTGGCGCGATGGTAGGGGCAGGGGGGGAGGCGGGGCAGGGGATGGGGGAGGTGGGGCGAGGGGGAGGCGCATCAGGGCTTGGGGGAGGGGCAGCGGATGTGGGGGGTAAGGCAGGGGCGGTGAAGGGGAAGGGGGTGAAGACAAGGGGGAGTGAGCGGAGCAGTGAGAGCTTTGGAGGGGGGATGGGGGAGAGGAGTGTGGGAGGTGGCGGGGGAGGGGGAGAGGAAGGCGGAGGGGGGGGGGGGGAGGGGGAGCGGGATTGGGGAAAGGCAGTGGGGAGGCGAGTGGGGGGAGCCATGGCGTGGAGGGGAGGAGCGGGAGTGTGGGGGGGCGGATGAGTGCATGGGCGGAGGGAGTAGAGCAGGACAAGGGGGAGGGGGAGGGAGGTGGGGGGGAAGAGATACCAGCAGGAGGAAAGGAGCGTGAGGGTGGGGAGGCAGGGATATGTGGCGAGAGGAAGGGAGGAGGGGTTGAGAGAGGTGGAGAGGGTGAGGAGGAGGAGAAGCAGCAGATGATTGCAGGGAAGGATGAGGAGAGGGGTGGAGGGGGTGATGGGGTGAGGGAGAAGGGAGGGAGTGAAGAACGGGGGGACGATTTGAAAGTTGGGGAGAAGGAAAGCAAGGATGGGGGAGTGAGGAGCAGTGGTGGTGAGATAGGTGGGGCTGGTGATGGTGCTGTTGGTGGTCGTGCGGATGGAGGTGAGGAGGGGAAGGGGGAGAGGGGCAGTCAAGGGACAAGGGATAATGAGGAGAAGCGAAGCAGGAAGAAGAGGAAGAGAGAGGATGGGGATCATGGGCGGGAGGATAGGAAGAGCAGTGGGAAGAAATCAAAAGAGGAGAATGACAAGGAGAAAGATAGGGATAAGGGTAAGGAGAAGGAGAAGGAGAAGGAGAAGGAGAAGGAGAAGGAGAAGGAGAAGGAGAAGGAGAAAGGGAAGGATAAGGATAAGGAGAAAAGCAAACGTGATGGGAAGAAGGAGAAGGAAGAGAGTGAGAGGAAGAAGAAAAAGCGGGAGATGAGGGAGGGGGAGACGGAGGCAGAGCACAAGGAGAGGAAACGGCGGCGGAAGGAGGAGAAGAAGCTGAAGAAGAAAAGGGAGAAGGAGGAGAAGCGGAAGGGGGAGGGTGCGGAAGGGAAGAAGAAGAAGCGAGACGGGACAGGCAGCAGCGGTGGTGAGAAGGAGAAGGGAGAGAGGACGGTGCGAGCAGAGGGGGGTGGTGGAGGGGGGGAAGAGGAAGCAGGTAGGTTGGAGGAGAAAGCAGTGGATGGTGTAGGCACACAGCAGAGCAAGCAGCAGTGCACGCAGGGCAGCACCCAGGAAAGCACCCCGGGTGCAATAGAAGTGGACGGGTCAGGTGGTGATGAGAGCAGCGCGGAGGAGAGGGAAGGGGATGGGGGAGGTGGGCATGGGGATGGGCATGGGGATGGTGATGGGGATAAGGATGGGGATGGGGATGGGGATGGGGATGGGGATGGGGATGGGGATGGGGATGGGGATGGGGATGGGGATAAGGATGGGGATGGGGATGGGGATGGGGATAAGGATGGGAATTGGGATGGGGATGCGTATGGGCATGGGCATGAGGATGGGGATGGGGGTGGGAATGGGGATGGGCATGAGCATGGGGATGGGGATAAGGATGGAAATGTGGAGGGAATGCATGGGGAGGATGGGGGGGATGGAGCAGGTGGGGAGGATGGCGAGGGTAGTGGATGGAGTGGCGAGGAGGGGCAGAAGGTGCATGTTTTGGACGGCCCAGATGAGCCAGATGGCATGGATGGGCCAGATGGCATGGATGGGCCAGATGGCATGGGTAGTGAACAGTTGCACGGCAATGCCACATCGCCTCCACCTTCTCCACATGTGGACAGCCCCAATGATAGTCCTAATCAGGATCAACACAAGCACGAGCATGAGCATGGGCATGAGCATGGGCATGAGCATGGGCATGAGCATGAGCATGGGTATCGGCATGATGAGCATGAGCATGAGCATGAGCATGGGCATGAGCATGGGCATGGGCATGGGCATGGGCATGAGCATGGGCATGAGCATGGGCATGGGCATGGGCATGGGCATGAGCATGAGCATGAGTATGGGCATGGGCATGAGCATGAGCATGAGCATGGGCATGGGCATGAGCATGAGCATGGGTATCGGCATGATGAGCATGAGCATGGGCATGAGCGTGAGCAACACCATGAGAATCAGAGTACATCATCCAGCCCCCAGCATTCGCCACCCCATCATCAGCCACCCGCCGAGTCTTGTGCGGCACATATGGCACCTCCTTGTTGAGAGATTTTGAGACATGTCTAGAGTTGATAGCCACAGCGTCGTGGCATCTCCTTTCTGACATTTGGATTGCTACCGTAGGAACATGGATGCACGAGAAACATGGTAGGAGTGAGGAGGATGCTTGCTGTCTATTTTCTGGATACCGTTGTCTGATGTGTTGTTGTGGTTATTGATCAAACAAATACGCTATCAGTGCAATGGGGCAGTGTAACCATTAACGTATATGATAAAAGACTGCGGAGCTCTGTAATTGGGGCATTATTGCGTTTGCTGCTGTCGCCTTCCAGGCGCGGAAAACGATTGGAGGGGGATGTCCGTCCAGTACATACAGAGTGCACCACCACCTACGGTGCCGGAACCAAGCCAATAAGGGCGTGTAACTTTTTCCTTCCTGACCGTAGGCGAAAAGGGTATCTCGCTCACTGTCCGGACCGTCCGAGCTCGTTATCAAATTGAAGATCATGCGGGGTTTGACGGAATCAAGATACCCTTTTCGCATACGGTTCGGACCGTCAAAAAAAGAAAAAGTTACACGCCCTAAGTAGGCGGGCCTCCTTTAGGCTGGTGAGTCGCATCACAAAGCAGGATTCTAGCTTCCGCCATGTTCTAACTTCTAAGTCTCTGCGGTGCATTTTGCCAGGCTCAAGCATGACTTAGGGATTACTTCTAACCACTCGCGCGCGGCCTCTGCTCCTGTTCCGCGGAAGTCCGAATAGCCCCCTCTGGCTTCCCCTGTCCACTTTCCGCCCTATCCGGCGACTACACTGCAAACCTTACATGCGTCTTCCGCGCTACGCTCCGCGCTAGCTTCTCAGCGAGCCTGATTCCTTGCGCCGTTTGGTCCGCGCAGTGCGCGGAGTGGCGGAATGGATCCCATGGCGTACGCGGACGATCTCGTGCGCGAGCTGCTGGTTTTCCGCGGTTTCGCGCACACGCTAGCGGCCTTCGAGGCGGAACTTGCCGCGGACAAGCTGCAACCGCCCCAGGTAATGCGCGCGCTTCCGCCATCCCCGCGCATTTGCCGCATGCCGCGCATTTGCCGCATGCCACCACCACCTTCCGCCGCCCGTCCGTCGATCCACTTCCCACTCCTCCCCTACCCCATCCTCCCCGGCCCTTAACCCTTCCCGCCGCCCCCCCCGCGCCCCTCGCGCGTCCCCCCAGGCGCAGCGCGTGGTGCATCACATCATGCGCGAGCTCATCCCCGCGCTCGACTGGCGCGCGCTCGCGCGCCTCTTCCTGGTGCTCCGCCAGCGGTTCCTGGCGCGCGCGGACGGCGCGAGCTGCGCGGCGCTGGAGGAGCTGGAGATGGGCGTGCAGCGCCTGTTCATGGTGACCGCCATGCGCGCGGGCAGGCGCGCGGAGGTGGTGCGCGTGTTAGAGGACATGGGGGAGAGCGTGCAGGCGCTGCTCATGACCGCGCCCCATGACTGGACGCTCTGGTTCGGTATGGCCTGCTCGTGTTGTGTGCTGTGGTAACCTGGTTACGTGGTATGGTATCCTGGTAATTTGACGGACAGGGCAATGCCATCTCATGTGCTGCATTCACGTCTCATCACGTCTCATCACGCCATGCCCTGCTCTGCTGCGCCATGCAGGGCCTACCCTGCTCCTACCCTCCTGACTTCCCTCACTCACTGACGCAGAGCATTCATGCCATGCCGCCTTACTGCCTGTGCTTGCCTGTCTCACACCTCCCATTCTCTCACACCGTTTCCGTTCGCATACCCCGCTGCCCCTCCCCCAAACCCCCTTTCCCTCCCTCTCGCACCGCATGCCCCTCTCTTCCCTCGCCCTCACCGCATGCCCCTCTCTTCCCTCGCCCTCACCCCATGCCCCTCTCTTCCCAACCCCCTTGCAGCGGCGCCGTACATGCGGCATCCGGAGCAGCACCCGGTGCTGGCGGTGTATTTCACACCCGAGTGGGCGGACTGCTTCAAACCCATTGCCCCCCTTCCCTTCCCCCCTTCCCTTCCCCCCTTCCCTTCCCTCCTGCCCTTCCCTTCCCCCCTGCCCTTCCCCCTGGCTCCCTTCCCTCCCCTCGCCCCCTTGCAGCGGCGCCGTACATGCGGCATCCGGAGCAGCATCCGGTGCTGGCGGTGTATTTCACACCCGAGTGGGCGGACAGCCTCACCGCCTCGCTCACCAACTTCCTGCACCGCCTCTTCCACTCGCTCCATATCCCGCCCACCGCCGCCTACCCACTTAACCGCGCCTCCCTTCTCTTTCCTCCCTTCATACCCATCGCTTTGCCTTGATATCGTCATAATGCAATCTTAGCGGGATCGCTCTCCTTTCTCCTGTTTATCCTTCCTCACCCCCTCTGCTCCTGTACGTCACGTCAGTCTCTTTCCGGTGCGGCCTTTATAACCTCTTCATTGATTGCCTTGTTAGGCCTGCTTCTTCTAACGCACATGCCTCTTGTCCTTAGCTTACCTAGCTGCACTGCATTGCACTGAACCGCAGTGAAGTTCCACACTGCAATCAAATTCCTCAACCATCAGCTTTCACCACCCATGGGATCCTTAACTCTGCACTTCCCCTCTCCTCCTCTCTCCCTTCCACTCAACCCAACATCGATCCCTTCCACTCAACCCAACATCGATCCCTTCCACTCAACCCAACATCGATCCCTTCCACTCAACCCAACATCGATCCCTTCCACTCAACCCAACATCGATCCCTTCCACTCAACCCAACATCGCTGTTTTTATACCCCCGTCTCCCACCCCCATCCCATCCCATCTCTGCCCACCGACATTCCACCTACTCTGCCATGCCACTTGCTGTTCCTTTATGCGCCCATGTGCCATCTCACTTGAACCACCCTGCGCACTGACGTGACGTGATGTGGCGTGTCATCGGTACGATCGACAACTACACAAGGCTCGTCGAGGCCACAGCAGCCGGCGCTGCTGCGCTTCTGTGAGGAGCAGCAGCGCGCACACCACCTGCTGGCCGTGAACGACCATGCACAGCGCCAGATCGCACGCCTGCGCCTGCTGCTGCGCGCGCGCGACAAAGACCTCTCCCTGCTGCGCCAGTCAGCCGCCCCTCTTTCCCTTTCTCCCTGCACTTGCACTCCCGCTGTCTCCTCGCCCTGTTGCCTCATCTTCCCCTCCTCTCCTCTCCTCCCCTCTCCCTCTCACTCTCGAACTTCACACCCTCCGCTTTTCTCCTCGTGCTACCTACTACCTAGTACATATGTGCTGTGCAGTGCCATCCTCCGCCCTCTTCTCTCTTCTTCCCACCGCGGTCTGCATTCTCTCGCACTTTTTCTGCCTCAACCCCACCCTCCGTCATTGATTCGTTTTCTCCCCCATTTTGTGTCGGTTTCACAATGTCATCCCCTTCATTTTCCCCTTCGTTTTCCCCTTCACATTCTCCCCTTGTTCTCCCAGCTATTCCCTACCTCTCCTCCCTCTCCCCCGCCCCTCCCTTTCTCCCTCTCCCCGCACCCATCTCCACCCCACACCACCACCCATTACCTTCAGAAAGCTTCAAACGCTGGCACCGGATGAAGACCCTCTCTTTCCCACAGTACCCTTCTCCACCTATCTGCACCAGCACCCCTCCCATGCCCCCTCTGCCTCTGCCGCCCCTCCACCCCTCCACACGTCTCCTCCCCCTACATTCCCCCCATCACCGGCCCCATTTCCTGTACAATCTTCCTTGCCTCCAGCAGCAGAAGCAGCAGCGGCAGCAGCAGCAGGCTGTGCAGCGGTGGAGGGGAGTGGGGAAGCAGATAATGGGCGAGAGCAGGCAGGGAGGACAGGCGGGGAGGTGGATGGGGGAAAGGGTGAATGGGAGGATAGGGAAGCTGGGGGGTTTACAGCAACAGGTGAGACAGTAGAATGGGTTGACGCTCCTTCAGCTTCCCACGCTGCTGTGGCTGCTGCTGCTGCTGCTGCTGCTGCTGCTGCTGCTGCTCACAATGCTGCTGCTGCTTGTGCAATTGACGCTTTAAGTGCTGGCGATGCTACAGCTGCTGATGCGGGTGCTAACACAAGGGAGCATCCAAGCCTTGGTGATACAGCTGCCGCTCTCCCTGCTCATTCATCTGCTACCGCTGCTGCTGCTGCTGTGGGGGGGACGGGCGTGGTGGGAATGGTGGAGGGGTGGTTTGGGCGGAGGCAGGGGTGGGGGAAGGCCAAGAATGGGGGTCCTGGGGCACAGCAGCAGCAGGGTAGCGCGAGCATCGTGAGCGATGCTAGTGGTCCCGCCAGCCATACTGCCTCATCCGTTCCTGCCCCACTGCTTGTCCCTGCAACTGCTGCTGCTGCTGCGGCGGCTGGAGCAGGTGGGTACGGGGAGAGTGGCAGCAGTGCTGGCAGTGGCAGCAGCAGTGGCAGCAGAAGGAGTGGCAGGAGCGGCGGTGGCACGAGTGGGAGCAATGCCGGGAGCAGAGCAATGGCGGTGCAAGCGATGGTGGGTGGAGGCAGCATGTCGCTCGTTGCCCTTTCCCGTGAGATCAAGAACGCCAGACAGGCCAACCTTTCAACCCCCGGCAGCACCAGCGCTGCTGGTTCTAATACTGCTGGAAGTCACGGCAGGAGCAGCAGCGGCGGCGGCAGCGGCAGCAGTGGCAGCAGTGGCAGTGTCAGTATCAGTGCAGCAGCGGGCGGGGAGGAGAAGGAAGCGGGTGGTGGTGCGGAGAGGGATGGGGGGAAGGCAGAAGAGCGGGAGGCACAGGGGGGGTTAGAGGCAATGTTGGGGGAGAGAGTGCGGGGTGGAGGGCCTGGGGTGGTATGGGTGGGGGGGCTTGTCACGCAAGGCGCGGAGGCAGGTGGTAGGGCGGGGATAGAGGGGGAAGGAGGGCTGCAGGTGGGGAGAGCAGAAGGGGGAGCGGCTGGGGAAGGGGTACGAGAGGACAGGGAAAGGCCTGGTGCAGTGGAAGGGAGGGGCGAGGCAGGTAACAGGGCGTTACTCCCTCAGAACGGTGTGAGTGGAAGGGATGATGTGAGGGTAGGAGGGGTGGTGGAAGGAGGAGCAGGAAAGGGGCGAAGGGGGAGCGGGGGTGGTGCATGGGAAGTGGCAGAAGCAAGGGAGGAGGAGGGACGCGCTAGTGACGGCATGCTGCAGGCAGAGTCGCAGGTAGTTACTTACTGCTGTGTTGCTTGCGGTCTGTGGGGTAGGTTGTTTGTACAAGTTGCATACATACGCAGGTGTGGCATCGTTGTGTGCAACACACCCCTCTGCTGCTCTGCAGAGCAGCCTCTGTCCGTCTCCACTTGAGCCATGGCTGTCTGTGCACACCTCCTCCATCACTGCCATGCTATCTCTGGGATCGCTTTCGAGAGCTCTCAACATTTTCGTCCATGCCATTTCTGGGAGAGTCCTGCATTGCAAGCAGCCCTCAGATCAGAGCACGTTTTGCACCCGTCAGCCCCCCTCCCCCCCGCTCTCCCTCATCCTTGCTTCCTCGCTCAACCTCCCTTTTCGCCTTCATGGCATGGCATGGCACGGTGTGTCGCACAGGAGGTGTACGCGGCACATGCAGGGCCCATCACTCGCTGCCGCTTCTCCCCGTCAGGCGCCAACATTGCCAGCGCCTCTGCCGATGGCAGTATCAGGTCCGCTCCGCTCCGCTCCGCACCGCTGTTTCATCCACAAACAACCATCCCACTGCTGCTGCTGTTTCGTTTTCATTCTCATTCGCCTCATTCTCGCGCTGCTCGCTGTTGCTGGCTCTGCGTCTCTCTTTTTCATCCCACATGGCACACCCTGCCACATAGCACCTCTCACAACCATCCTCTTTAGCAGCAATGCACCCGGCTTGCTTTGCTCCATCCGTTCGCCCCTCAACTCGCTCATCATCCACTGTGCAGAATATGGGAGCCGGAAATCCCTGTGGTTTTCACTCTAACTCAAAACCCTCACACAGCCCCCCTTTTCCATTCCCCACGTCCATGTCTCCCCGTCTCCCCTCGCCCCTCAACTCGCTCATCATCCACTGCAGAATATGGGAGCCGGAGATATCGGTGGGAGCAGCGGAGGGGCGGGGGGACGCTGGCGTGGTGGTGAGGGGGCAGAGGGACGCGGCGATTCTGGGGGATGCGCCTGTGCAGGCCCTTGAATGGGACGCCAAGTCCGACCGCCTCGTGAGATGCTCTCATGCATGCATGCATGCATGCATGCATGCGTGTATCATGCATGTATGCTTGACTTTTGAGGCGTCTCAAAAACCTGTTGGATGCCGCCGTGCAGGCTTTTGAATGGGACGCCAAATCCGTCTGTCTGGTGAGTGAGATGAGCGTGCAGGGCATGTGTACATGCATGGAGCATACACATGACCCATGCACGTGACGCACATGCATGAGTGGTAGATTCTTGAACCACGTCACGCAATGCACGAGCACCCACATGCACAATGCTCCGCTCCAATCACCCATGGGATGGGAAATATGCTCTCACTTCTCCGGTTGGGTTTTGAGACGTCTCAAAACTCTTCCATGGGATGGGAAATGTGCGTGTACATCTCCTGTTGGGAAGCTGGCTATATCCCAACGTGCATCCATCGTCCCCCGTTTTCAGCTGTACCCATCTTGTGTAGAATCCAGCTATCATACATGGAGTGCCGTGCATGAGCTGCTGTTAATGCTCCCCTTACCCCATATCCTCCCTGACTCTCTCTTTCTCTGTGCACGTGTTGTGTGTGTGTGGCAACAGCTGTTGGCAGGGCTGGCAGACGGGCATGTGAAGGTGTGGAATGCACACTCCAAGCACATGCTCTCAGACGCCCCGCACCCACAGCCCTACACCAGGTGCGACCTCCACCCTCACCCTCACACCAGATAAGCCTTGTAACGATACTATGGTGGTGTCTTTGCCCTGCTTTGCTGTGTATGAGTGAATTGCATGCATTGCCATTTGTTGGGGGGGGGTGTGCACACATGCACGTTGTGGTGAGAGTGCATGCACTTTGTGGTGAGAGTGCATACCTCCTGTGTGCGTGCATGTTGAGGGGACTCAGAAGTTGCCTTGTCTGTGTGCGTGCACGTGCTACCCTGCCCTGCAGGCTGCTGGACATTCGTTCCAGCCCTTCAGAGCATCTCTTCGCATGCGCTGCAGCAGCCTTCGACCACCCGCACCACTCTCCACCCCTCACATCATCTCTCCAACCCACGTGAGTCTCATACTCTCTCCTTTCTCCTCGCCTTTTCTCAGTTCATCCTCTTTCATCACACACTTGCATCGCCTCTTCGTCACCCACACTCCACCCACCCTCCCCTCCTCCCCTACCCTCTGCATCCTCCATTCACCATCCCCGATCTCCTATCCCCAACCCCCCATCTCCCACTGCGCATCCTCCTATTCCCACATGTCCCGATGGACTTCCGGACAATGCTCCTGGCCACTCAGTCCCCTGCGTGCGTCATTGGCCCGTCAGCCACTCCCTCCACCTGCACCGCATGGATGCATATCCCTCTGGAGCCTCCGCACCATGTCGCTCCAGGTGCGCGGCACTACTGAGACCTCTGAGTCCACTCAAAGGTCACCTCGCACTCACGCGCTACTTGTGATCTTAATCGAACCTAAATTCCTCTCAACGTCGCCCCGTCCCATGGATGCATATCCCTCGTCGCCCCATCCCACGGATGCATATCCCTCTGGAGCCTCCGCATCATGTCGCTCCAGGTACGCTTAACACATGCATGGATACATCATTCTCTGGGTTGCTTCATCCGTGCAGTGCGTGCCTTCTCAGGCGCCTCGAATTTTGTCTTAAAAACACTACGGTCTTTGAAAGTCGTCCCTAAGCTGCATGCACACAGTGCACTCTGCCACAGGGTAACATTTGACCAACTTTCTTCAACTATCAACCATCAACTATCAACGATCAGCTATCAACGATCAACTATCAACTATCAGCTATCAACGATCAACTATCAACTATCAGCTATCAACGATCAACTATCAACTATCAGCTATCAACTATCAACCATCCCTCGTGCATGCAGGGCTATCTACCACTGGGGGAATCACCCCCACTCATCACATCCATCTGCCTCAACCACAACGGCAGAATGCTCGCTGCTGCTGCTGCCGACGGCACCCTCCGACTCTTTGGTAAATGTTCTTGGCTCGAGGGACATTTCGAAATCACACTGCTCGCAACTCACCCGATCTCTTCATGCAACACAACACAACCAGTTTCTGTTCTTGTTCCTATTGGCTGTGCTCCGCTGTTGCCACTCTCGCTCCCCTATTTTGCCTGGCCCCATCTATCACCACACACCTTTATTTTACTCCCGCTGCTGTCTCGGTCCCTTCCACCCCTCCCCAACGCACTCCTCTGTGTGCAGACGTGAATGCGGCATCGCAGATCGCGTGCTGGCCTGTCACCCTGCCAGGTTCCTCCCCATCATCATCCTCCTCCTCCTCTTCCTCGCACCTCCTCTCCCCCGCGGTCTGTGTGCGCTTCCTCTGGGACCATTCCTCGCTCTTCTCGCTTTCCGCTTCAGGCCAGGTGAGGTCACTCCTCCGCTTCTCCCTTCCTCCACTTCTCCCTTCCTCCGCTTCTCCCTTCCTCCGCTTCTCCCTTCCTCCGCTTCTCCCTTCCTCCGCTTCTCCCTTCCTCCGCTTCTCCCTTCCTCCGCTTCTCCCTTCCTCCGCTTCTCCCTTCCTCCGCTACTCCTCTCCGCTCCCTCCTGCGTGCCTCCCTCTGCGCCTGCACTCTCTCTGCTCCTTCGCTCCTCCCGCCTCCTCTCTCCCTCCCAATCATTGCCTCTACTTCGTCTCTGCTCATAAACTAGTTCCTTCAGAGGTGTGGTGTGGTGTGTGCCAGTTCTCTATGCTCTTTCTCTTGCTATCTCCACCCTCTCGACCCTCCCCACCCATACCGCCCTCATTGCCCTCCGTTCCGTGCTTCCACAGATAACGGAGTGGAGTCTGCACCAGCAGGGCCAGCTGTTGCGTCACTTTGATGCTTCCAGGTACTCACCTCCTCCCCGTTCCTTGGGAGAGGAGAGTTCTCAAAAGTGCCATCCAGGTACCCGCCTCCCCGTTCCGGCCTCAACTCAGCCTCAATTCTCTCGTCCTCTTGTCCTCTCGTCCTCTCATCCTCTCATCCTCACTTCAGCGGTCCCTTTCAATCATGTCAATCATGTGTGAATAGGTTTCTTTATTTCTGTTTGTGTCTGCTTCTTTGTGTGTGTGTGTGTGTGTATGTGCGTGCCCTGTTCCCCTGGCAGTTACTGCATGCACCCACCAGGCAACACAGGGCCAGCCCCATCCACCCATGCCTCCGGGGGCTCTGACTCCCACCCCCACCCCCACCCGCACTCCCACTCTGAGAGCCAGTCCCAAGTGCTGTCCCCGCTGCTGTCAGCGCGCTCGCTGCTGCTGCCGCACGAGCTCGCTATTGACTCGCAGGGCTCGCACCTCCTCACCACCTCCTCCTCCCACTCACCCCAGCTCCTCGACGTATGTGCCGCTTCTCTTTCTCTTCCATCTCTCTGCTGTCAGCAGTCCCTTCGTTCGTGCCCCTTTGTCGGCTCTCTTTGCGCTTCCCTCCCTCCGTTCTCCCCTAACCTTTCGTTACTCTCTCTCCTCCCCGTTTTATCATCACCTTTTCGAGTTTTAAAATAAAAAAAAAGTTCTCGATCGTCAACAGTTACACCGTTCCTCTCCCATCAACCCCCCTCAACAAGTTTGTCATCACTCAGCGCTCGACATCCCTATCCCATCCCCTCCACCCCTCCCCTCTCCTCCCCAACACCCCTCCCCGCCCCCTCCCATGCAATCCATGCAGCTGCGTCTCTCCCACCCAGCATGGCACAGAGCGGCCACACATGCAGCGCCCGTCACTACAGTCGACTGGCACCCCACAGCCCACGCCTTTGCCTCCGGTTCCGCAGACCACACCGTGCGGGTCGTCTCCCTCGCGTGAAGCACAAGCGCAGTGCCACCGCAATCTTGCTTCCCACTTTCAAGCAAGCCTCTCCAGACTTACTGCATACATTAAACTGGCACCCCACAGCCCACGCCTTTCCTTTGCCTCGGGTTCCGCAGACCACACGGTGCGGGTCATCTCCCTCGCGTGAATGATGATGCCACCAGCACCAGGGTTCGCTTCTCTTCTCACTCGCACTTGTGAAATGCCTCTCAAGTCTGCGCTGCGCCACGACTCACCACAGTGGGCTGCCTGGCATCCCACCCACAGCCCACGCCTTTGCCTCGGGTTCCGCAGACCACAACATGCTGGTCGTCCACCTCTCATGAATGAATTAAGCGTGAGATGCCACCCGCACACCACACCGGGCAGGTTGCATCCACACCATCCCACCATGTCGTCCCTCTCGTTTCTCACCACACCATGCCGCCACAACTCTCTCTCCACCTGCAAGACGGGCTCTCAGGATAGACCCTTCCAGCGTACTGTGGTACTAGACTTGCAAGTTGCATCCCACAGTCAATGCCTTTGCCCCAAGCTCTGCTGCAGACCACACCGTGGTGGTCGCCTCGCCTCCCTCGCATGAATGCATGAATCGTGATGCCACCGTGGTGGGGGAGCTCCGCTCCGCTCGCTAACCTCACCACACCGACCCCACACTGTGCGGTGCGGTCTCCCTTGTCTGTCTAGTGATTGTGACACGACTCTCCGAGGAGTGTGCAGTGCAGTCGTCATAGGTGCAGTCGTCATAGCATTACAAATCTCGATTTTACAGCACACTCAGATGGGCAATAACAGTTGGTTCAATCATAAACTACGTACTAAGAAATACCTATGATAGAAGGGGGTTGGGAGGGAGGGAGCAAATCAAGAACTAGAAAATGCAAATGAGACTAGGTGGCAGGTCTGAGAGACCTGCCGGAATGTCAAGGAGTTTGTCTCCTTTACAGCAAACTCCTCTACTAGTCGAATCACAATCTTCAAATTTTTTTAACTTAAAAATTTTTACATATTGTGACACGACTCTCCGAGGAGTGTGCAGTGCAGTCGTCATAGGTAAGCGAGACATCATATCGAGGGAATGTGACGATGGCGTGCGAGGGTGGCTGTGTAACGATGGGTTGGACTAGGGCGTGTTGGATCTTGAAGAGTCCGAGACGCTGCTACCAATTCCCGATCGAGTTGAGTGACGTATAACTCACAAGCCTTGTTGCTACGCCATCGGCCGAGAGCCTTGAAGAGTCGATCGGGAACACCCACATCAACTGCCACAGTGGCCGCCGATTTGCGAAAAGAATGTGTGCCGAGGGCATTCGGGTTAAGGCCGACCCGACAGAACGCCTCGCGACACCAGCTTCTAACCGTGGCATATGAGGGGGATCGGTCCGACGGCGAAGCGCGAGCATTAGGCGGGAACACCCTGATCAGGGCGCCTAATGTCTGTGAAGAGAATCCCGCGAGGAAAAGAAATTGTTGCGTGCGGGCGACTGGGCAGTGACGAGCAGAAGAAGCTGCAACTGGAACCCAGGCGCCTGATCCAGCCTGATCCGTTTTGGATCGGGGAATGAAGAGCCACTGGAGGGCGATCAGGTCGGAGAAGCGCAAGAAGGCCGCGAACATTAGAAGGGGTATGAGACCGCGCTGGAATGTGGCGGGATCCGACGACGCGAAATAGATGTCGCATATGTCGTAGATCTTCGCAGGGGGTATCGGTTCCTTCGCCAGTGAGGGCTTGCCGCAGTGGCGCTGCGCATACTCTCGCACTTGTGAAGAAAGTGGTCCTCGAATAGGGGAAGGGCAGCCGACCAACCAATGGGCGCATGAGATTGCAGAGCAAGCAGTTCGCACGGCCGATACGGTTGCGCCCCTTCGGATCGAGTGTAGTAGGAAAAGGGCTGTTGTCAAGTCAGTGGCGGGAAGGAATGGCAATGAATGCTCGTGGCAAAAGGCGCGATATTGCCGCCAATATGGTTCGTATGTGCGAATGGTCGATTGAGCGCGCAAGTCGACTGTGAGTGTCAAGAGATCCATCATCAAGCGTCCAATGTAAGATCCTGCACGTTTACATGACTATGCATTAGTATATGTCAAACGGAGTGCATACATGTGCGAATGAGGAATACCGGCACCACTAAAGGCCTGAGGATCGCTACCAACACCTAGACAAACGGAGCCGTGGGAGAGATACATGCTCCCACATACATCATTCGCCCATGCAGCGCCATTCGGGCGCAGCAGTGGCCACCAAAACGAGCTAGGCCACTCCGGGATTACAAGAGTTATCGCCGTTCTAGAACGACGCGCGTGAGCAATAACCGCTGGGATTAGGGGCGGTGGGGGGAAGGCATAGCAGTTCTCTCCTTTCCAACTGAGAGAAAACGCATCTTGTGCGACGGCGTCTTTATGAAAGTTAAGGGAGCAAAAACGGGACAGATGTGCATTGAACGGCGACGAAAACAAGTCGATAGTGTGTGGCCCCCAGCGACGCTCGAGTAGTTGAAACCATGTCCGCCCGAGACAATAGTCATCATGAAGTTCGATTTTTGAGAGCGCGTCGGCCTCGGTGTTGAGCTCCCGAGGGATCCACTGTGCCGTGAGTCGAATCTTGTGGCGCACGCAAAGCGTGATGATGGCGCGACAAATTAGGGTGAGTTCCGGGTGGCGCGAACCACCCTTCTTTAAGATGTAGTAAGCTGCCTGGCTGTCGCTCCGAAGCAACACGTGTGATCGCCAAATTTCGCGGCTGAAAGAAGCTAGGGCCCAAAGAATCCCAGCGAGTTCACGTAGCGTGCTGGAGGCGGCTGATAGCGTGCGAGGAAATGGAGAAGAGCTTGAGCCGGCACGACCATCCGGCGTGGAATAGCAACTCCCCCAAGCATGGTCGCTTGCATCCACATACATGACCACGTCGTAAATGTGCGGATTATGGAAACAAGAACCATTGAAGACATCGAACTGAGTCAGCCAAAATCTCAGCTCGTCAACCGACTCCGGTGTTAAGTGGACAGACTCTCCCCAAGATTGGCACGCACTGATTTGAGAAAGCAGATGATGGGAGAAGGCACGAGCGATGGTGCCAAGTGCCAACGTCATAGAGGCTAGCATGCCTGCCACTCTAGCCAATCGGCGAACAGGGGTACGACGGCCCTGCGTGCTGATTCGGCACAGATGATCGAGTTCCTCAAACAACCGGCCTCGGCGGTCAGCATCGACAGAGAAGGAGAAGGTGCGAGTGTCCAGCATGAGGCCAAGGAATTTGAGCCGTTGCGAGGGCTCGAGCTGTGATTTCTCAATATTGACAACAAATCCGGCGGAGCTGAGATCCTCTAGAATGACGGCTCGTGTTTCGATTGCCTCAGCCCAAGTGGCACTGATGAATAAGAGATCGTCCACGTAAGGGATTAACCGAATTCCGTTGCTGCGCCAACGCTTAGCAAGTTGCTTGATTAGCTGCGTGAAGACGAATGGAGCTGTGGCGAGCCCAAAGGGCAAGGACAAAAATTGATATTTTTGACCTTGCAATGAAAATCCGAGGAACCGCCAGAATGATGGGTCGATGTCCACGTGATGATAGCCCGACTTAAGGTCTATTGTAAACAGCCATTCACCCTGACGCACCAGGTCGGGTACCCGATTAAGTCCCTCGTATCGGAAACGAGGAATGGAGAGGAATGAGTTCACATGGCGAAGGTCGAGAATGAGTCTTTTCTTAGAAGGCTGGACGATCACGTTGAGTGGGCTAATGCAAGTAAGTGGCGTGCCAGCTGGGACAATGCGCGCTGCGCCGGTGGCGAGAAGGTCAGCCACTGCTTCAGCTGCAAACGCCGTATGCTGTAGAGCGCCCGTGTGATTTGGGGCATGGTGAGGGGTAGGTTCGCAAGATCGCCATGGCAGGCGATACCCCGACACGACGACTGATAAGATGAACCGACTCGTGCACCAAGAATTCCACCACATAGAACACGCCTGCAAGCGTCCTTGCATAC